AGCGGTTTAGGGGTTTAGGGGTTTAGGGGTTTAGGGGTTTAGGGGTTTAGGGGTTTAGGGGTTTAGGGGTTTAGGGGTTTAGGGGTTTAGGGGTTTAGGGGTTTAGGGGTTTAGGGGTTTAGGGGTTTAGGGGTTTAGGGTTTAGGGTTTTGGGGGTTTAGAGGGTTTAGAGGGTTTAGAGGGTTTTGGGTGTTTAGGGCTTTGGGTTGTGGGTTGAGGGTTTTGGGTTGTGCTTGGTTTAGGGTTTAGGGGTTCAGGGTTTCGGGGTTAGGGCTTGAGTTTAGGGTTTAGGGTGTAGGGTGTATAAGGGATTTCGGGGCTTAGGGGTTAGGACTTAGGAGTTCAGGGTTCAGGGGTTTCGGGGTTTAGGCTTTAGGGGCTTAGAGTTTGAAGGAAGGATTTCCCGGGTTTAGGGTTTCGGGTTTAGGGTTTATTTGAAGAAATAGACATCAGCAGATAGCAATAAACAGCCTCCAAGATCCAAAAACAAACGTGCCAAAGAGGAACAAGAGTAGCATAGCAAAGAGCGGTAGGTGGTTCGGGGCGGCAATGAACAGCGATGCGACTCTGTGAGCCCTAAAACCGAAAGGGTGCAACTTAGAAAACAAACTCGCGGATTTGTGCAATATAGAGGCCTTAATAATTAGAATAGGGCTTGGGGGGGTATTATAGTATAATTATATAAGGGGCCAGAAAGGGAAGACGATTTATGAGGTTTCAGGGCAGTTGAGGGTTGGCTGGAGGGTTCATGAACAACCAAAGATAACACTACGCACATGATTCGTAACAAATGTTTGGTTACCTTACCCGCAGCCCCCCATCTGTTCAGTACTGCTCAAATCTGTTCAGTGCTTGTTGTGACGTTTCACGACTACGGAAAACTCCGTTCATACCCAATATTGCGATTTTTTTTCTCGAACAGCATTTGCCATACTGTTCTTACCCCTGGTTACCATCCGATGCTACGTGGGTAGTTCTCTAGATCAGGATCCCTTTTGGGGGCTCCTTTTTACAAAGTGCCGCGCTATATAGGGGCCCAAAAAGGGAACCTACTTTAGAGAGAGAAGAATGTGCAACTATCTTCTGATCTGTCGTCACTCCCAAGAAGTGGCCCATTAAGTGGAGAACCGGCCTCAAGTAGTGGTTCAGTGGGTTTGAGGGTTAATCATGTGTTCCCCGACAACCCCCCTCTATACTACCCCCCCCCCCCCCCCCCCCCGGGCTTTTTAGGGATAATTAAGGCCAATTGAAGGGATTTAAGAGGTAGTAGGGGGGGGGGGGGGGGGGGGGTAGTAGGGAAACTCATGAGTTAAGAGTTTAGGGTTTAGGGGGTACCACCAGGGTCCCGGACATACGCGTTGCGGTTGTACGCCGCGTCCTGGGGTGGCGACAAGGTGCTTCTTGCGCCAGAAGCCCTCCTAAACCCAGAACCCTAAACACTGAAACCCTACAACCCTAAACCCGAACCTCGAAACCCTAAGCCCTAAACTTCCAAAAATGAACCGAAAAGCTGCTCAAAATTTCGGAACTCGATAGCTCATGCACATCGATTCTTAGGGTTTCGGGCGTAGGGCGCATGGCGAAAATCATGAAAAGTACTCATGAGACCCTTTAGGGTTTAGGGTTTAGGGTTTAGGGTTTAGGGTTTAGGGTTTAGGGTTCAGGGTTCAGGGTTCAGGGTTCAGGGTTCAGGGTTTAGGGTTTAGGGTTTAGGGTTTAGGGTTTAGGGTTTAGGGTTTAGGGTTTAGGGTTTAGGGTTTAGGGTTTAGGGTTTAGGGTTCAGGGCTTAAGGCTGCTGCGGGCGCAGGGCTTAGGGCTTGGGGCTTAGGGTTTAGTGGATCTCCCTGTCGCCCTGGCAGCCTTGTGGATGACCTCCGCGAAGTCCCGTTGCGCCCGCTCCTCGAGGCAACGTCGCCCCAACCCCCCCCCCCCCGCATTAGGGTTTAGGGTTTAGGGTTTAGGGTTTAGGGTTTAGGGTTTAGGGTTTAGGGTTTAGGGTTTAGGGTTTAGGGTTTAGGGTTTAGGGTTTAGGCTTATCCCTAAAACAGCCTTAACTATGGGGTGGACCTGGGGGGGGGTGTAAGTATAGAGGGGGGTAGTAAACAGACCCGAGAAGTAGGGGCCTTGCGTGCGAACTGTTGGGCGCTCTATGTCGGTGGTTCCCTAAACCCGAAACCCTAAACCCTAAACTCTCTAAACCCTAAACCCTAAACCCTAAACCCTGAACCTGGACCCTAAACAGTCGTGGACGGAACAAACCCCAGCCCATCAAGAACCGCAAGGAACAACAGGCTTTAGGGTTTAGGGCTTAGATGACAATCTGCACCCGAGAGCTCCCTAGAAACTAAAATATCTCTAAGAGCCCTGCGTGCCACATGAAAGCAACAAAAACAGCCCGGAGCTCCCAGCGTGCCCCCTCCTTCCCCCCCTAAAACCCAAAACCCCAAACCCTAAACCCTAAACCCCAAACCCTAAACCCTAAACCCCAAACCCCAAACCCTAAACCCTAAACCCTAAACTTCCATTGGGCTTCGGACTTCGCGGGCTTCATATTGCTGGTACTTTGGGGGAGGTGGGGAGAGTGAGCCCGAAACCTTATATTATAGACAGAGTTCTTGAGGCGGGGGGGGTCAAAGCCCTGAGCCGTTAGGGTTTAGGGTTTAGGGTTTAGGGTTTAGGGTTTAGGGTTTAGGGTTTAGGGTTTAGGGTGTAAGTTTTAGAGGGGGGTATGTGACCCAAGGTTCCCTACTTCTCCCCACTACTCCCTAAGGCTCCCTAGGCTCCCTAAAGGTTCCTTAGCTACCTACCCCCCTGGCCCCCCGGAACCCTATAATTATTAATTATAGAATAGAGGGGTGCATATGGGGGGTTTAGGGTTGGCTTTAGGGTTTGGTGTTTAGGGGCTATGATCTAGGGCTACACTCCTCCACTCCCCCCCCTTCCTTCACCCAGTAAATCATGGGGATGTATGAGATGGAGGCTCTGGGGGCAGGGAAAAGCTTAGGGTTCAGGGACGTTGGGTCTCAGCTTCATGTTCTGCACGTAGTGACCAAACAAGTAGGCTTAGGGTTCAGGGGTTTGGGGTTTAGGGTTTCTCTAAGTGTGCCAATCCTGGCACCCTAAACCCTCAATTCTCAACCCTAAACCTAAACCCCAAACCCTAAACCCTAAACCCTAACTAACCCTGTGACGAAGTGGGTCCTCCGCCCCGGAAGCGAGGTAGCAGAACCCCCGCGACAAGAGGGCCTGCATCAGGGCAGTTCTCCAAATTCGGGTTTGAGGTTCGGGAGCCCCCCTCCCCCCCCCCATCATTAGGGGATAGGATTAGGGGGACCCTTGGGGATATAGACCCTCTGAATAAGGTCCCTGTTTAAGAGAGCCAGAAGAGGGTTAAGAAGGGGTTCCCTTTTAAGGGTCCCCCCCTATCCTACCTAGGAATCATGACACCTTGTATTAGGGCTTTGGGTTTAGGATTTAGCCCACAAAGGATCAGCAGGAGCAAGTCGAATTACAAGGGCCAGCAGCTTCAAAACTCTTAACCAAGAAACCCTAACGCACTAATAAACCCTAAATCGAACCCAAAAACCCTTTCGCGCCTCGGACGATGAGCCCCGAACCACCAGACCCAGAGCCACAAGAGCCTAAACTTACGGGGTTTAAGGCTTCGTGGTCCTGAGCAGCCTAAACCCTAAACGCTACGCCCTAAGCTCTAAACCCTAAACCCTAGCTACGAAGTCGAGAACTTCGGGTTCCAACAACTAAAGTACTCTATTCCATAACATACCTCAACCCTCCTACTCTCCCAGTAAGAACTACTACTTGCTTAAGAACCCAAAAAAAACTCAAACTAAGAATAATCACCACAAAAGTACTGGTCATCCGCGATACCATTCTACTTTGGGATGTTACCCCCCTATACGAACAGCGCTTAAAAAGGGATTGTAATATGGGGTACTAGAATCCCTCTCCCTAAACCCTAAACACTAAACAACCCCAGGTAAGGTCCTATTCAAGGACTGTTAGTATAAGGGGAACATCCAAATTATACTTTCCCACTGAGAAGCTGTCGGTGCACCCATTTCAGGACTTCGAACCCCTGGCATCCTCCCCAAAAATCCTCGGGTTTAGGGTTTAGGGTTTAGGGTTTAGGGTTTAGGGTCTAGGGTTTAGGGTTTAGGGTTTTGGGTTTTGGGTTTAGGGTTTAGGGACTAGGGCTTGGTGTGCAGCGCCCCAAGTGGCCGACATCCGTTTCTCTCGCGCACGCGCGTGCGCGCCACATAGATGCTGGGACACCCATGCGCTCGGCAACAGCTGAGAGTTGGTCAAGATAGGATGGCCTTTACAACCCTCTGAAGGACATTCCTGAACATGATCCTGTTAGCCTGTTAGGCCCAATGGCCTAACTAGTCAAGCTAGATTGCAAACCAACTCCCACGCTTGGAAAGGCCAGAGTCGGCGACTGGGTCAGCAACTTGAAACGAAAGTCTGGGGGAACATAGGCCCACAGCGCGCACAGTCTGCCTGCTCCCATCATCCCAGAGCACTTGAAGCAATAGCTTCCACGGCCGCTTTTGCGGCATGGAATTGCCAGAATCGTGGGTGGCGGCCCGCCTCTCTACAACACTTTGGGGGGGGATGCTGTTTCTTCATTGGGCAGGCCTCAAGTCCATGTAAATCCTAAACCCTCAACTCTAAAGGGGACCTCCTACGAGGCACCCGAATAGAAGAAACAGCTCCCAACTGTACATGGCAGGCACTGCCACGCGTTGGCGCGCCAAGCTCTTAGCCAAGGCTGCGGCCACGTGGTTACTTCAAAAATGGGGGGTTTCCGAAAACAAGCGACCCCCAATATAGTCCCCAAATAGTAGGATCCTCTCCCTAAACCCTAAACCCTAAACCCTAAACCCCAAGAAGGTACCCCTGACTTCGGGAAACCCCAAATGGCTTTGGGAGGTTAAGGGCTTGGGTAGATAGATGGTTCTAGGGATCTGCGTCAGGCACTAGACGCCGAAAGAAGGCTGCTGTGAGGCCTCCATCCTGAGCGAACTGCGGAAAAGCACTGTGGCCTGGACTCACCCTAAACCCTTCGGATTTAGGGTTTGGGGTTTAGGGTTTAGGGTTTAGGGTTTGGGGTTTAGGGTTTAGGGTTTAGGGTGTTAGGGATATGGCGGTACATGGGGTTGCTGATCTAAAATTTTGGCCCTGGCAGGGTCTTTCACTCAGACACAAATTGTACAGTCGGTATGTACCTAAGTGGCCCCCACAGCCCTAAACCCTAAACCCTAAACCCTAAACCCCCCCTCCTGAGCCCCTACTTTCGCTTGTATGCTCCCCTGCGCCCTGACACAAGATCCACAACCTCACAAGGGAGCCTATCCGGAGGAAGCCAATGCCCCCAGAAGCCCCCAAGACGCCCTAAACCCTGAAGCCTGATTACCTTTTTATCCCCACTTGCCCCTGGTAGTTCCTCATACTTCTTAGTCAGCCTGACTGGGGAGCCCAATTTAGGGTTTGGGGCTTAGAGCTTCTAGGGTTGCGGAAACGATCCCAAAATGCCAAGAGTGTCTCGGCCATTTCAGCCTGGCTTCTGAGAGAGTAGGGTTTAGGGTTCAGGGTTTAGGGCTTAGGCCCTAAACTCTACTCACACAGAATGTAGAAGCAGGATCCCTCGTCAGATTGCCGCTCCAAGCGGCATGCTCACCAAGTAGCGGATCTTTAAACTCATCCCAATGACCTGACAAAGCTCCAAAACCCTAAACCCTAAACCCTAAACCCTAAACCCTAAACCCTAAACCCTAAACCCTAAACCCTAAACCCTAAACCCGAAACCCTAAACCACAAAAAGCCGACCCTTGAGCTTTACACTGAAGGGCTAAACAGCCCCCGAAAACACCCTGAAACCTCCCCTAAGCCAGTCACCCCTAAACCGCCAACCCCAAAACCCTGGGGGTTTAGGGTTTAGGGTTTAGGGTTTGGGGTTTAGGGTTTAGGGTTTGGGGTTTGGGGTTTAGGGCTTAGGGTTTTGGGTTTAGGGTTCGGGAATCCATACAACCCTAAAGACCCTTAAAGCCTTGAAACCCTCAAGCCCAAAACCCCTCACGCTAAAACCCAAATCCCCAGAACCCCTGACGCTCCAAACCGCCCACAACCCTAAAACCCGAAGCCTCAAAACTCAAACCCCCAAAGCCCCAAAGCCCAAACCTCACAAGCCTCAACCCCTAGACCCCGCAAACCTTAAACCCGAACCCCCAAAAAAACCTCAAAAAATCCCCAAACCTGAAAAAAAAAACTAAACCCTAAACCCTAAACCCTAAACCCTAAACCCTAAACCCTAAACCCTAAACCCTAAACCCTAAACCCTAAACCCTGAACCCTGAACCCTGAACCCTCAGCCGAGCCCTAAGAGCCGACTTCCCTCCGCTGCCAGGCCACGTCGCCCTTCGTGACGGGCCCCCTCAGGCTCATCAGGCCCGTGACCAGCCTCTTTAGGGTTTAGGGTTTGGGGTTTAGGGTTTAGGGTTGAGGGTTTAGGGTTTAGGGTTTAGGGTTTAGGGTTAGTGCTGGTGTGACCCAGCAGGTTGAGAGGTAGGAACAAGTGGAGTGCGCAGTTCCCCTGTCCCTGAACTCCCAACTTCCATGGCTCACACGAACGCGGAGTGACCTTTTTACACGAGCGAACAGAAACAACAAAAACCTGTGAAGTTTGAACTACTTGGGCTACGGCACCTACAGGTTGTAAACATACTTAAAAGTTGTGCTCATGACCCTACTGTGCTTGGGCCTACGAGCAACAAGGAAAACAAGTAAACAACCTAACCTCAAGGACCTGCAAAGGAAGTGCGTTCAACACTCCTCCTTCGCGGCCTCGCCAGGGGACAGCGACCTACCATACTCCTACTTCTGTGCAGGTCCTGCCCGTCAGGGTGGAGAGTGTTCTCTACCCTAAGGCGCTCAGAAAGAGATGCATGCGAGCATCTCTGCAAACTGCAAATTGCAGTGCAAAAGAGGGAAAAACTTAGCATGAATGCGCGATGCGATGCACATCCTGCCCGTCAGGGCGGAGTAGTACCTACCCTGTGCTGTGCATGGTGTGATCTGGTGCACGCCGGTGGCACCGCTGACACACCTCAAATGTGCAAAGATTGGATGACCTTGCAATTGCAGGACAGTCCTTGGTGCGATGGAGCTTCTCCCCCTCAGGGACAGCAAAGTAACGAGTTGGCGCTCCAGCTTCTGGCTGCCTGCGTGCGGAAAGTTCGGCCTCGATTGCTTGGGCCGTTCGGTCACGAAGGCGTTGCAATTTCCTCTGCTTGGCAGTGCTGCGGATGCGGCAAAGAGAGTGGTGTCTCAGGCACCACTTGGCAAGCTCCCACGCGGCAATAAAACCAATGCCGACAAAACCCACAAGCAACATGAACATGAGATCCGTACTTAATTCAACCTGATGTACATCTCCCTCCTCTTCATCAAAGAGCTCAGGCTGACACTTGGCACTTTGGATCTGCATCATTGCAAGCAATAGGAAAAGCAACTTGATCTGCGGATACTGAGGGTGGGTAGGCAGGTCGGCAGCCACAGCTTCCGCTTGGCGGGGGTCCTCTGGACAGTGCTCGAACAAACCCCAAATGGCTGCGAGCTCGAGGATCCTCGCTGCAGGAAGCGCTTTCGTGAGGAGGTCTGCAGCCTGCTCCACACCAGGGCAGTAAACGGGGATTATCTCTCCTGCCTCATACTGCTCTCGCAAATAGTTGGCGCGCACCTTCAATTGGCGGGTTCGCCAAGACCCTTGGCCAATGGCGATAGCAAGCGCAGACTGAGAGTCAACCTTCAAGGTCTTACCCAAGTTAAAGACCCCAAACTCACCCAGCATGGCCTCTGCTGACTGCAGTGCAACGACGGCATCAAGTCCTGCGACGAGCTCGGACTCTGCAGTGCTGAGTGTGACAAACGACTGCCTAGCGGAACGCCAACAGACAGGAGAGCCGTAGAGGAAGACAACCCAACCAGTGCGCGAGCGATTGCCATCTGGCGCAAAAGAGGCATCGCTGTATGCAACTAAGCCCGTGTCATCTGCGTCAGCGGTGAGAGCAAAGGCTTTGGTTTGCTGCACGTATGCAAGTGCCCTTTCAGCGATGCGTGCAGCCCTTTCGGGCGCCTTTGTGCTCAACGTAGCAAGGACACAAGCGGTGAACGCGAGATCCGGCCTCGTTCGCTGGCTCAGCCACAAGATTTCTCCGGTCAGCCTCTGGGCTGTACGAACTGACTCCTCGGTGGGCGCCTCATCCGTCAGGAGAGTGTCAAAGGACACCAAGTCTCTTGGGCAAGGGATCTTCCCCAGCGCAGTGGGCTTGACGTTGTTGAGGCGTAGCAGCTCCTCTGCGTAGGCCTGCTGCGACAGAACAAACCCTAAACCCTGCACTAGGATCTCAACCCCTAGAAACCTTAAAGGCTGGCGCGGCGTGGCAAGTGTGAGGGGCGTCGTTTTCCAGATCGACTGGATGGCCTTGGCGAGAGCCTCGATGACTTCAACACATCCAGCAAGTAGGAAGTCATCAACGTAGGTGATTAAACCTCCCACGACTTGACCCATCGCTGGTTTGCACGACGCGCCACCAGTTCGTGTCTAACTTGCCCTTGAGTAGCTGCAGCTCAACCCCGTTGACCACGCATCTAAGGTTAAGAAGCTGGGAGTCCCTAAAGTCTGACCACAGCTTCGGTGACTCCCTGAGTCCATATACGGCGTGTGTGAGGATCCAAAGCTCTCCCTCCTGCGCAAGACCTTGCCGCACAAGGTAGCGCGGCGGCGTTAGGGCAAACACAGGAAACCCGTCACCCTGGGGAATGGGCGTGAGGAGGAACGCTGAGGTTACATCTAAGATGCCTAGCATCCAACCCCTCTTAGAGCTAATGACTACCAAACAACGAAGTGACTCTGCTGCAGCACCTGACGCGTATATTTCGGTGCCAGTGGAAGGGGCATGGTTTCCACACGCAACAAGCCTCGCCTTGCGTTTGAACAAGCTTGCCTGAGTTGCGTGCTCCCCGTTCCCGGGCGCGGCGGTTTGCACGTCAGGCGGCTTAACAGTGAAAACCAGCTTTGCCGGCACAACCCTCACGTCAGTGCGGTGAAGCCAGTTCCCTTTGCGCACCTCGCTAGGCGGCAAACGGTGCGCAGCTTTTTCTATGACCCCGATCTCTTTCAGGATTGACGGGATCCACACTTCACTGTGCTTTTCCGCCTCTCGCGGGTCGACAGTATGAACTATCTGCAGTGGCTCAGTTAAACCACTGAGCAGCTGTTCAATGTCTGGAGTGTACACTGGCTCGGACTTGCAAAGACGCAGGTCCAGGTCGTCAGACCGGAGTGCACACAGTTGCTGGCCACTTTGGGGGTCTGGAAGCCACAGCTCCCACTGCACAGGCTGTTCTGGCCAGGACTCCTCCTCGACCTGCGCGTGGGGTTTTGGCTCCAGGGTCTGCAGAACGCAAGGTGTCTGCTCGTGCTGCACCGGAGTGTGCTTGAGGTTCCACGAGACCTCTAGCTCTACAGTTCCAGCCTCTACCTTCTGAGTCTCTTTCCAACCCCCACCCTTCTCTACTTTCTTCGGGCAGTCTTCACCTGCTAGCTCTAAGGGACCCTCCTCGAACATGTCAAACACGTCCAAGCGCCTGACATCTTGCTGCGTCGTGAGTGGCAAGCGTGCTGAAGCAGGGAGCGGAAAGCCTAAGGACTCGAGGGCTTGGAGCTCAGACTCTGGCACCTTCCCTAAGGTGTTAACAGTGTAGGCTACGAGCACGACCCTTTCACCTTCAAAAGGGGTAGTAGCATGACGGCGTTTGGGGTCCAAGTAGAAGGGCTTGCCTCTCTGCAGGCTGTGCGTTGTGCCCAACCACTTCTTTCCTGTACCGTCAACTCGTTGCTCGACAGAGCCGTGGATAACATCTCCTGCTCGCAGTTCTACCCACAAGTCTCCGCCTTCAGGAGGGAGCTTGAGTGGAAAGACTACGTTGACAGACCCTTCTACATTGTTGTGGTCTGCATGCAAGGACATGGGGTTCGTATTGGAAAGCCAAAGACTCGTGAACTCGGACTCTGGACTTGCGGACAGGAGCGTCGCGGCCATCAGCTCTGTGAGCCAGGGGTAAGAGTTTGTTGCACTCGTGGTGCCTACTACACCACCGTGTCGGTAAAGGCCGGCCTTAAGAGACTGCAGACGGCTGAACTGGACCAAGACCCACATGGCCTCTTCAAGGTCCCAGTCTTCAAGCAGTAACTCCTTTGCGAAACCCTCAAGGTCCACAACACTAAACCGACTAGCCCTAAACTCCTCCTCAACGGCTTCACATTGCTCATGCGGACACTCACCGTCAGGCAGTGGGAACAGCAAAGACTTGCTAACTGCAGGGCTTGACTTCCCACGGAGTCGAGTGCGACTTGCAGGTGCGGGCACGCGCTCACCTTCCGGCGGTGGAAGAGGAGGCGGCGGCAGAGGTGGCTCGCCAAGTGCTGGCTCGGACTTCCCACGCTCACGCCTTGCCGGCTCGAGCGGCGCAGGCTCCCTCACATCGCCCTCAAACACGCGGTCTGGCATCTCTGGCGTATGGAGGCGTGAGCGCACATGGAGTGTTTGCAGGAAGCCGTTGCCCACTCCGTCGTTGCGTAGGACAATGTGGCCATCATTCACAGAAGGCGACAACCCCATGACTTACCATCTACCCACCTATCCCCTAAGTCACCCCTAGAAGGTCCGTAAAACTTAAGTTTCACAGAGCACGGTGCCCCAAACGGAGCTGCAAGCTTGGACTTGAGGCCAAGCTGTTGCGCACGTTGCTGCGATGCCGCAGTGGCCATTGCACATGCCCACAGCTCTGTTCCAACTTCGGCCTGGGCGAGGAGCGTGTGCGCCCTAGCCTTTAACCAGCGGATGGTGTTCTCAGCTGCTCCGTTTTGCTGCGGCGTATCTCCTTCAGCTGTGGTGGTACGCACCCCGTGCTCGTGAAACCAAGCTCGGGTCCTTTTGTTAAAGAACTCCCGACTTCTATCCGAGTGGAAGCGCAGCACAGGAAGGTTCAATGAGCGAAGTTCCAGGAACACTTGTTGTAGCGCCTCTAGCACTGCCTCGCTCTTGTTTGTGTGCAGCGGAACAACAAACACCAACCTAGCTAGGCCTGGCGGAGCTTCAAACTCACACTTGGCCCTTTCCCAAGGGTGTTCCTCCTTGGGTTTGCTTGGTTTGGCCTTGGCCTTTGCGGCTGCTACGCGTAACGCGCCTGCTTCTTTACACGCGTCATTTTCAGACTCACTTGTAGGACAATATCCTAAACAATCCTCGGGCAGCACATCCTTCCCGTCAGGGCGGTGCTCTGGCTCCGGTGGGCCTTCCACAACAACGTCGGCTAACTCGTCCTCCCCGCCAGGGCGGAGTAAAGGATCATCGAACCCATCAACCTGCGTTGGGCTTGGTTCGTCCTTTGTCCCTT